AAAAAACCGACTATTGAATGTGTATTTATTTTGCCTCTTGGTACAAAACTGATGGAAGAGCAGCCATGATGAAGCAGTAAAGGTATTTTTATTGTTAAATTTTGCAAGAATATACTGCACATTTGCTAATACCACTATCCCACAGCAATAAGTGACTACCCTACTGTGTCACAGTAATAACTGTTTGTTTCTTGATTAAAGTCTTGGGTACCTAAGAAGTTATACAAACAGTAAACAGCATTTGTCTTAATCGTCGTTTTACGACTATTATAGTCGTACAAAGGCGATTATTGAGTTTAAATTAATTGGGGACAGTCAAATCGTAAATATTATCTTAAAATGCTTAATATTCTTCAACGATAAATGGCACCTAACTTCGTAGTATGATGCTGTCTGAGAAAAATGTATTTAAATGTAAAAAAACACATTCTATTATTAAAAGATGTGCCTTAAAGTTTTTTTCAAACCCATTATTGACCTAGGCAATTACTGTACTCTATTACACAACATTCAATTTAATATTTTGCATATCAAAAGTAATAAAACTGAATGAATATGTGTTTTAGGTTAAGTGCCACTCTCTGTAGAGAAATGTCTAACTGTCCATGTTTGCAATTACTGTAGTTCATAGTGAATATTTTTCAGTATTTGCATCATTATTGGTAATGCTTGCAGTATATCAATGTAGATTGCTATGGGAAGAACAGTTGTTTCAACTATCTACATGATATTCAAGTATTTACATTTTTAAAATTTACCATACAATTAACTTTAAAATAATATTTCAGTCTCCTTTTTTACAAATATTTTTGTTTTGTTTTTATCTTTCACAAAGGTTCTTGGATACCTTGCTTCAATACCTCTGGTCGGACAAGAAAAGACTTGGCTAAGGAGTAGAGCTTCAAATAATTTATCACCAAGAAACTTACTGATTAAAACCGAAACCTGTAACGCGAAAGATTCTTAATTAAGCTAAGTGGACGTGCAATAGTAGCTGTTGTTATATTACAAAAACTCTGATTTATACATGCCTGTATAGTACAATGCATAATATTTTATGTTTTTTGCAAGTTTCAATTAAAGAAAAATGGTCAAGTATATTTTGAACTCAGTGAATTTTGTAAGTTTAAAGGATTAAACATTGACATTGACTCAACATTGAACATTTTACATTAAATTAACATTGAACATACTACATTGAATCAACGTTGAAATTTACGTTGATGCAAACTTTCATTTACAGCCAAAATTCAACGTTGATTCAACATTGATTGTTTGACGTTATTATAACATTAAATAATTGATGTTGAAACAGCTTTAGACATTTTACGTTGAATTAACGTTGAAATTTACGTTGATGAAAACTTTCATATTCAACTAAAACTCAACGCTGATTCAACATTGATCATTTGACGTTGTTTTAACGTTAAACATTGACGTTGAAACAATTTTAGGCATTTTACGTTGAATCAACGTTGAGATTTACGTTGATGCAAACTTTCATATACAACAAAAATTAAACGTAGATTCAATGTTTGCATATTACGTTGAATCAACGTTATTTCAACCATTTATTAGTGTGTTCGTCTTCTGTTTACTCACAACATTCTACTTCAACAATAATATTAAACAACAATAACGACAATAAATTAATAATATTTACTTTAATAATACTAATTAGTCATTATGACGATAATAAAGGTGATAACAACAACAACAACAACATTAATAGTAATATTTATTTTAACAATACTAATAGTAATAATACTAGTAATGTAATAATAACGATATTATTTAAATATCAATTTTAATAACTAATTAGTGATAATAACGATATTTAAGGTGATAGTAGCAATAATACAACAATAAAAAAATTAAAGATAATGTTTATTTTTATAATAATAGTAATACTAATTAGTAATAATAATAATAATAATAATGATACTTAAATACTAGGCCTACTTAGTAATAATAGGGTAATAATATCGATAATAAAGGTGACAACAACAACAATAATAATAATAATAATAATATGAGAAAAATACCAATAAAACACCAATAACAATAACTTTTTAAATTACTATTATTAAAATAATAATACTAAGACTAATAAATAATACTGTAATAATAATAATAATAATAATAATAAATCGAAAATTATTAATTATTTATATGGTACTGTAATAATAATATCAGCAAAACTTTGAACAATACCGTATATAATGTTAATGCTAAGACTAATAATTAATATTAAAACTAACGGTAATAAAAACAACAATAACAACAATGACAACAGCAATAATAATAACAGTAAGTATAGTAATACTTAAAGAATAAGTATTTTATACTTGATGAATTACTCCTTCAAATTGTAGTACCAGTAAATGACTTGTGGCCGAGTTGACCTCTGGCCGAGTTGATTTGTGGCCGAGTTTACTTGTGGCCGAGTTGGCTTGTGGCCGAGTTGACTGTAGCCAAATTTTTTGTGGCCGAGTTGACTTGTGGCCGAGTTGGATCGAATTCGGTAAATTCATAGCTTTGGTCCGACGAGCTCGTCGGGGTGACAGAAGGCCTGTCTGGCGTAACAAGCCAAAGTGGATGGAACAAAACAGTGGCACAGAATTTGGTGGCCCGATTCTCCAAATTCTTTTTGTGCTGCCAAATCACTCTCAGTACAGTCGGTGTAATCAGGGAGATGTAAACATCTCCCCGGTGGTGATGGTATAATTTTAGGTATGGTGTGATGTCTACCTTTCACTGTATGCTTTAATTGTACCATACAAGCTCATCAACGGAAAACCCAATGTCTTTGCCACAGTATTTTACTCTTCCAAGATGTTTTGTCAGAAGATTACTAATAGGAATGATGTTTTTGCCCTACCTCAGGGGCAGATCCAGTTAGGGGGAATGGGGGGCCCACCATGTGCGGAAGGTGTTGAATTAATTTTTCCTTCTCAATATTTGCAGTCGGCGGGTTTGCTAAACAAGGTATAAAAAAGCCTTGCCCTAGGTAGTTGGCAATTCTTTCACAAGTCAAACATACAAGATGGGTCAAGCTCACTATAAATGTGCAATTGGACTTCAAGAAAAATAAAGTTTAGTCAACAAACTAGGGTTTACTTTAGAACAGTGGCCCTAGAAATTTGCTGATGAGTGGTCTGACAGCAGGGTCCGAAAAAAGGAAGGAATCAAGAAATATAAATTCCAGGTAGAGTTTATTGGGAGGGTTTTTATGACTTAGTATTTTGTGCGTTTACTTTAGATTGGAGGGCAAGCATATTAATCTCAAATGTACTTGCTTTTAACAAATCAAGGCCATGAATGCAGGTAACCTTAGTATATTTTTATCTACATGTAATCTAAGCTATGGCCAGTTAGAATAATTGCATTTGGTCAGCATAGGAGTATAAGCAACATGACTGAAACAAGACCAAGAATATGTGAGAAATGAAAAAAAAAGGCATTCTGTGCAAAAGTAAGTTACAATGCATTTTAGACAGATATGCTATTGACCAGTAAAATGTGAAGTTGGCAAAATAATAACTTATAGTATATATTAATGCCTTACCTCAACAAAAGGTTGTTATGCTTAGAGAGTACATCGTCCAACAATATGGCGTCAGATCAGCTGCCCCTGTGATTTTCACAATTGGGTATGCAGTACTGATGTGTGGGTGCATTCTCTTTTAAAAACACTTTTATATCTAGATTAATTGCATTCATTAAACATTCCATAACAACTCAAAAGAATTCTTTCTTTTGATGTTGCTCCCTGTGACACTGAGTTTGAATATATGCTCACAGATTTGTATTATACATGGTATTATAAGATAAATTACCTGCATAAAAATGGAATAAACTGATCACGTGCCAGCGCGTGACAGGTAAACGAACCAATTGGAAATGAACAATATAGGATATCTTACAATACCAACCGATAATGTTAAGCGTTCAATCGTGTAAAATTGATTTTACTTCTACTTCAAAAAATAACTTATCATTAGAAGCACAGTGACGTGTGATAGAATTGAATGGTTACCGTGAGTACCTAACGAAAAAGGATAGAATTGGAATTGACATGAACAGCAAAGAATAGGTTACCATAACAATGCTGTACCTCCCAAGAGCTCTACAGTAAATTATAACAATCTACTTACTCAATTATACGTGGTATTATAAGATAAAACCTGTCACAAAAATGGAATAAACTGATGACATACCAACGTGTGACAATTAGACTGACCAATTGGAGATGAACAAGATAATAGTATAGCTTACGATACCGGCCGTTATCGTAAGCTATTGTTGTTTAAGCCAACAATTGTGTAAAATTGATTTTACTAGCTACCTTAAGAAATATAATAACATATCATTAGAAGCTCAGTGATGTGGATAGATTTGAATGGTTACTGTGAGTACGAAAAAGGGTAGAATTGGAATCGCGATGAATAGCAAATAACAGGTTTATCTTGTTTATCTACAAGAGTTCTACGGTATTATAACAATATGCACCTTTCTATTGTAGGAAAATATAATTGAAGTACTGTATAGTTATCCACATAAGGCTGTCAATGTAAGGATTGTTCTTGTGATGTATGTCATCCATGCAAAATAAAAAAAAAATAAAAATAAACAACTTCAGAATTATATTTCAACAAAACTTCATGCTTATGTCAGAAGTGTAATTTACCAGTCTATCATGGAGATTTAGTTTGCTTTGCTTTTTATTGACAAAACCAGTCAAGTGTAGGTTGTCCATGCAAAAATGTGTGTCAAAATACAATGAATAATTTGGGTTCATTCAAGTTATGACAAATGTAGGTAGTATAATAGATGATAAAAGATAATAGATTTTGATTGAAGTGCAACTGGTGATGCATAGCCCTGGTACAATACAATTTTGTCAACTAACCAGAACACATCTGAATATTGCATTTCAGATCCCTTGATGCCCTGTGATGTCGGCAATAACGGTTCAAATCGATTCCTTAAGCACACAATTACGAAAACCATAATTATTCTCCTCTCAGTGCAGACAGGTAGTCTGATTTTCATCTTCATTTTCTTTCAGGTGTATAAATTCTAGTTTTGACTGTACCATGGCTACCTTTTTCTTAGGGATTTTTTTTTGCCTGGGGCTTTTCCACTTCATTGTTACTATTGCTTTGCTTTTATTGACATTTTTTTTATGAATGATTTTATTATTTATTCTTTGGTCTTTTTTTTTGCCTGTTGTTAATGTGTTTATTTCTTTTTGCTTAAGCCCCTCATCAGACAGGTCAAGTCCCCCACTGGCCAAAGCTCGTCGGGCAGTCAGCCCAAAGAAAAAAAAATATGCCTAATGAAATGAAATGCGTTACATTTATTGAGTTGAATTTGAGAGTAAAGTAACAATTGTATTTTATCAACTTTACATTTTAAAGTATTTCTCAAGTCTGAGAGTGCAGTTTCCGGCCATCCAGAGGTCCCTATTTAAAAGAAACCTCATTAGTGGGGGTGGGTTACCCCCTTGGCTCAGGCCTAATTCCTCAGATGGCACTGTGTGCCGAAGTCATCCTTATCTCACTTAGCCCCCCCTCCCCCTGTTGAAAACTTTAGCCTCACCCCACCGAGTATATACCCTACAGCCGCCACTGGTGCAGAGCACACTATACAGAGTATAGTATATATTCAAATGCAATGCCACTCGATATATTCTTCAGCAAAAACAATCTTGTGTGGGAAGACTAGACACTTTGAAGTTCATGTCTTTTGAAAAATTAAGTGACTATTTTACTATATTAAATATTTGTTGTTTACTTTATTCCTCCCATGCGAGTTTAGTTTCTAGTAAATTAATTATCAATAATCATCATCCTTTTCTTTTAACATAAACATTTAAAATATTAAACTGACTCTTCGAAATTTTCAATTCCAACTAGATTTGTGAGATTGTGGAATAATCTCCATCCTGATATTCAAAATTATTTCGTTTTATCAATTAATTTTGGTTTGTTCAAATGTTAAGTTAAAAAAATTCTTAATGATTTGTAATTGATTGATATTGTTATTTTATTATTATTTTTAATATTTGTTATTAAATTATTATTATTATTTTT